CCTACGGGAGCCGCCGCCGTCATCCCGGGCCGGCAAACAGCGCCCCCGCGCGTCCCCGCCCCGCAACGTCCCAAGGAAGCGGAAAGGCGCCGGCGTTCACCGAAAAATCGTTTATTGCATTTAAGAAACGGGGTCTGGCTTTCCACAGGAAAGAACTACGTTTAGAACAGGTGCGTTACAAACAGCAGGGTGAGTTAATACGAGAGCCAGAGAGATGAGGAAAGGTTTATTACAACTTAATTCCGCATAATTTAAAAAAACAACAAAAAACCCACCTTTAAAACTGTTAACTGTAATACAAATTCTTTTATAGTATAAAATCAAGTTGCCAGTGTTTGTATCAGTACCACACTTAAGAGTCTTGGGCTCCCACTGCTGATGGGCGCTCCCTGCAGCCCACCCCGGGGGGTTGGGACCCCCATGTGATCCATCCTCTTCTCGGGGTCAGCCCAAGCAGCACCGAGGTTTCTACAGAGCAAGGTTTAGCACTCAGAGACAAAGCACGGTGAGGCTCTTCTAGTTTAAATTTCATAGAAATAGCTACAGCTGTAAACTGGAGAAAGCACTTACACATCTAAGCGCACCTCATAACATCCTTTGGACACAGAATTCCTGAACTGCTCAGCTCCCTGTGGATGGCTTCAGCTATATTTAAAAAAAATCACTTAAGTATTTCAGAAATAATTCACAAACTGAAAGATTAAAATCGGTCTCTTCATAGAAAGTCTCTTCTGTGAATTAAGACGTACACACTGTGTTTCTATTCAGTAACACACTGAGGAATCTTGAACAGTTCGGGAAACCCGTACAGCTTAACCAGGGTTTTCTGATCTCCTGAAAACAGACAAAATCCAGCCATGGGATTGTGTGAAGTCTGTATTTGTTACCTGCCCACAGGAAAAAAAACAAGTGGGAGGAACGCAATGGATTGTAGACTGAAGCACTGGACTACTTAGAATAAAATGCACCAAGAACTGTAAGGGAGGGGGGAGTGCAGAGCAGGGAAGGAAGGAAGATCACAAACTGAGAATGCCACTGAATGGAAAAGCTCATTGGATCCACGCACTCCTGAAGCTCATTCTCATGAAAAACAGAGGGTGAAGGAAACCAGCTGTCAGGACTTTTGCTCCTGGTGGAAAGTGACAGAAATACAAGGCATCTAAATGACTATTAATGAGGTACTCCAAAGTCAGTAAAAAGTTTTTGATGGTGTTCAAAGTTCACTTTCTGCTCATTTTCATCACTATTGTGTTATTCTCCTCAGTACTGTTGTGCAATCCATTTATTAAGTAATCTAGATGGGGATAAAGTGTTCTAGAAGAATGTAATCAATAATGTAATCAATTCAAATAAATTGATTAAGTAGATGAATTTTATCTCACCATACTCTCTTCCAGTTAACGCCAGGATGGCTGCTCTGTGAGCCTACAGAAACAGGGGTGTGTGTGCAATAATACTTGCTCACAGGATTTCTCCTCCACAAAATTACTGTAATCCAGTTAGGAATAACCACAAAAGATGCAGAACTAAAAGATTTCAGTATGTAAAAAAGTAAAAACTTTTTAAAACAGTAGTAGCTTCAGTACAAAATTGCAAATATATGTAGCAAAAAAAAAAAAGAGGTGCCTGTTGTTGAAATTAAGTCTATTTAAGAGCAGTTCAAACATATCACAAAATTTTTAAAGTATATCTCTGAGTGAAGCAAAGGTTATGGGCTTGCACCAGGGTAACTAGACAGTTGATTTAGGCCTGACCAGCTTTAAAAAAAAAAAAACACATGTGCACTGGCTTAAATAAATACATTCTAAACATGATAAACTCTATTTACTCGGTTACTGAAATTTACCTACAGAAAATAATCTTGAATTACAAGGCACAGAGCTAATTGCTGCCTGCAAGTCAAGCTCACACTAAAGGCCTACTACTAAAGTAAAGGCAGAACGTGATGAGTAGAGGTTACCTCACTGAAATACTCCTACGCCCTCACAGCCTGCAGGGCACCGTGGTAGGAGCCATGTCTGGAACAGCACTTCTACGAGTGCAAAAGACGTAAAGACACTCCAGGCAATGGCACTTGGTGAAGAAAAATATGCAGCCTCTCTAGGCTTCTGCAAAAATCATGCATAACGGGTGTTTTGGTATTGCCTGCGATCAGGCAATGTTTGGAACTCGGCGTTGGTTCACTAGCCACACATACCAGTATTTGGATTAGCTGCAGTTTATCATCTATGGGTTGCAGTTTGCTAAAGCAGTACCAGTACGAGCATACCTCAGACATACAAAAATTGCAGTTAGTGTCACCATCAGTTACACCAGCTGAAGAAAGGCACATCCTCTTCAAAGAGAGGAACTAGGGCACAAATACGAATGTTTCTATCCACCTGCTATTTTTGCCCGTGTCACATAAAGCAAGGTCAAATTAACACAAGATCCCTAATAATCTTGTTGATGCATTTTCTGTTATCTTGCTAAAATGAGGCTTTTTTTCTGCCCAGGGTATACACCAGTGCAGTTTTGCATGTGTGGGAATCACAAGAAAGCAAGTTCTGAATTACCAATTGAGGCTGCATCTGGACAAAGACAGCACTGTCAGCTTCAGACAACAAAGCCTAGTCCAGCACCATTGGTTTCACACAAAGTATCTTTGAAGCATGCTGCTTTCATACCACCAAGCTGTAAGGTTAAGTCTAAGGAAGGTTTCATGCACTCACTCCTCAGCTGGTCCCGAAATCACACATAAAGAACAGTGCACATCCTGAAAATAAAAGCCAGCTGCCACTCACTAGAGCTGCTAAAGAAAGTTAAAAAGTACATAAATAGAACTTCAGTTAAAAGAGTTTACAATAACTGATCACCTAGTAGAGAGGAGAAAACTGCCCAGGTAAACCTATCCAGTGACTGGCTAACAGTTACAAATTTAACTGAAACCATCAGTGAGTTGCCAGGAAGAAGTGACGGTTCCTGGTTCCTGTAAATAGAACCTCCAAATTTTCTGTCAGTGTTCTCCCAGAAAAACAACAAAGGAATTTGCCGCAAAAATCTCAGGTGGTGGCCCCAAGAACATTAAGAAGTGAAGCAATTAATTCCTCGAGAGCAAACAGGCTGCTATCAAGTCTCTGGGATTCATCAAAGGGATCTCACCAAAAATCTCATTTTGAGAAGTGTCATCCCAACTATCTCAGTCAGTCCAAGAAGGTAACTGTTAACTTCATTCTCAGGGTGCAAAGTCTCTTTGGAGAGTGAAATAAAAACTCACTTTAGATGATTATGGAAGACTTGCATCTAAACTCCTCTTCCACCTCTCCAATTCAAAAGCATGAAAATCACTCATTTGAGTGATTCATCATTATCCTAAGTTCCTTACATTAGGAGGAATCAGCTGCTGCTTCTATTAATAAAATCATTGCAGGTGTTCCCTGGGTCTTGCTCATTGCATTAAACATGCCTTATGCTAACTTCATATAAACGATCATAGTTCACTATAAGGTGAATCTCAGTAATATTTCAGGCATTTTTGCATGTAAACAAACTGTTTTCAAGCTTTAAATTGACAAAGTAAAACAACTGGACAGCCAGACTTCTGTTTGTAAAAAAATTCAATCAGTAAATAACGGCTGGGAAAAGCAGCAGCTATGCTTAAAGCAAAGTTATCAGAATTTGTGCTTTTCAGCAAATCTAGTAACTGATGGCTACCTAGTAAAGAAGTCTGGCTTCAAAGAAGTCCCTTCTTTTATTTTCCTCCACTAAATAAGGACAGAAGCCAAGTGATCCCTGGAGAAGCTGGAGACTGGAACTTTAGAAATAAAGTAGGTATTTGACCTCTCAGTTGGAAAAAAACCACTTCTGTTTCAGTTTCCCTGAAGCAATAAGACTGAAGAATATTCGTCGCATAAACCATTTCTGCTTAGAGCTGTTAGTGCAAGATGCAAATCTTCAATTTAACTCATTAAAGAGCCCTCCAAGATTCTAATCAATATTCAACTTCAAACATCCATCACCCGAGGTAACTACAATAAGACACATTTTCTTGTGTTCTTCTTTGTCACAGGATACAGAACTGCACGCACAGCTTCAGCAAACACCTCCCGAACACCCTCCTGATTCAGCGCTGAGCACTCCAAATATTTGACTGCTCCGATTTGCTTAGCCAGTGAAGTCCCCTGCTGTGGGGTAGTAGGAGCCAAGCTTTGCTCTTTCAACTTTTTAACTGTTTCCAGGTCATTTCTCAAGTCTCTCTTCGTGCCCACTAAAAGAATGGGAACATTTGGACAGTGGTGAGAAACTTCAGGATGCCATTTGTGCCTCACATTTGCATAGGAAGAGGGGCTACCGATGGAGAAACAGATGACGAATACATTGGTTTGAGGATACGAGAGCGTACGCAGGCGGTCATATTCCTCCTGGCCTGCAGTGTCCCAGAGATTCAGGCTAACTGTCCGGCCATCAACAGTCATTTGGGCACTGTAGTTGTCAAACACAGTAGGGATGTACTCTTCTGGGAAGGCATTGGTGGTATAGCTGATGAGAAGACAAGTTTTTCCCACAGCACCATCTCCAACAACTACACACTTTATAGTCTGCATTCTTTACCCAGAAACAAAGTCCTGCACAAAGCAAGAAAAAAAGTTAGGAAAAGCACACTCAACGATAGTCATTTTAAAAACACTTCTAAAGCTTATCTTTAATATTGCTAGCAATTTCTTATCAAAGCTAGACACACTCAGTGTCTCAGAAGCCATTATGAAGAGCTCACAGGCTAGAAAGACAATAGTGAAATGGAGATGCAATGAGTTGAGCGCTCAGTGACAACTGGCTGCATTCCAACCATGTAAGTACGAATTAGCTGAATTCCCACAGTCTTGCCTTACTGCCAGTTTCCCACAGGCAAAGGGACAAGTCTTTAGGGGACAAGTCTTCCTGCAAGTGGAAAGGGATCGTGACCCGAGACCTAGTAACAAGATACTCTGTCATTTGTAGGTTCACATACACACCTCTGTACACACACACACCCTCCAAGATTCACACTTCTTATCTACAGAGTCTACTGCCTAAACAGTTTACCACAAAGAAAGGTCCAAAAATTATATAATAAACCAAGATACCCATTGCTGGGCTGCACTGCTACTGTTTACAGTAATAATTCACTCAACTCGGGATCAATCAGACCTCAAGAGACTGTATTATTTAGAGGACACCAGATAAAAGGTTCAGAAAGTAGCCCGTACAAGAAAAGCTGTTCTTTGAAATATAACTAGCCATAGTACCCAGATTAGAATACATAAAGAATTTTTCTAAAGAAGCCAAGAACAGATTATTCTCACTAATCAGTGACAGAACAAGCAGAACTTAATAGGCTTGAGCTATAATAAAGAACGCTTATACTGAGCATTAGAAAAATACATGCTGTAAAAAATCAGCGAACAGCCTTCCTAGGCAGACTGGGGAATTGTTACAGGAGATATTTGACACTTAAAGGCTTCCCTATCCCTTTCCTGGTATGTGAAGAGTAGGTTTGATAATCAAATGGATATAGCCTAAAACTCAATTCATTCTAAACTTTCATCACATGAGCAGCAGGAGCTTTGAAAATAGCATGGAACAACTACAGGCAGTCATTTGTTGTACATTGTTGTATGCTGGAGCTTCCACTGCTAGCCTGAACAAGAAGGAACTTGCATCTGCCTTCTCACCCAAATGCCTTTGAGGTACTATCAGTAATCCTCAACTTGCAACCAGCAGCAAATACACTGCTTCAAACAGAAGAAACAAATAGTGGGAGGAACATATTCCAGGAAGATCACAGCTCCAGCACCATCAAAATAGCAAAGGGAACATATGAAAATGAGCAGTAGTGAAGTACTTCACTTACAAAAGTCATGAAACCCCCTCCCTCCAACTTCCTTTTCGAGACTATCCAAACAAATCAACAACTCATTACCATTTAAGTCTCAGCTTTGTCCTTTTTGACAAAGTCTTTATCTGTATCCACATATTGCTGTCTTCCCACTGGGAGCACGTGATTCTTCTGTACTAAGTGAAAATAGACTACCTTAAACTTTGGCACAAAGCTGCAACAGGCAACTCAAGCGATACCAACTGTGGTCACTACAACATACAGTGCTTAAGGAAGTATGAACATATGTACACACACACTATTGAAAACCAATCAATAGTGGGAAGCAGTGCAGAAACCTTGCTCCAGAAAGACCCAGCAGGACATTGGAGGGGAAGAATTTGGAGGAAAACAAGCAGGAGGAAGATGCAGAAGCAGTTTATCCTTTTCGAAAATGGCAGGAATTACATTTCTAAATCAACATGAATCACCTGAAATGAAATCTGGCAAGTACTTTTGAGCTTTGACAGAAAAGCATACATGTGAGTTTCATCATACATTAAAAAAAAAAAAATCAGTCATCCCATTTCAAGGCTCCAGTCAAATGTAGAGAGAGATGTGTATACAACTGCATATTGTAAAGGTAATCAGTAAAATGAAGAACAACACTGACCAGCAAAAGCTGACAGCAGGACTGCATATATTATTCCAGAACAGTTGCACCAAGATTTTTATTTAACGGGGGGGGAGAAAAAGAAAAAAAATAGGTAAGTTCTGTTGAATTAGAGGCTTAGAAACATTTCTTGCATTTTGCAAACCCCAAAGTTGAAACCCCTTTTAATATAAAATTACTTAAAACATTACAAATTAAACATTTTTAGCATTGTATTATTAATAGAGGTTGAACACTTACTGGCAGCATGCAATACAACATAGTATTTCTGAACACAAAGGGTCTAAGTGCTACAAGCAAACAGTGACAGACAAGCGGTTGTATTTTAATACCATAACACTGTTCTATCTGAAGATGCAACCGTAACTCACCATCCTAGTCTCTACTGCTGCTCTCCCTGTAGGGCAGATCACCACCTGCTTTGAGACACTGCCATGCTCTCTCCAGCAGCGAGGCTGCCTTCAGATGTTTCCAAACCCTGTTTCCCCTTCCCATCCAGGTAGCACACCACCCCCCCAGCTGTGACCACACACTGAAAAAGGGTGAGGAGTTGTTTCATCCAGTTTACCAAGTAGTACCACAATCAACTGTGTTGATAGAACCAAGCTAGTGGTAGTATATGGTGCGAATGAATCACGGGGGAGGAACACCATGCATTGCTATTGCTGCCAAAGTATCACGGGACTGCAGCACAGAGAGCAGGTTTTAAAGCTTATTCTGGTGTTTACTTCAAACCACTGAAGTACTAGAAGATGCTGTGCCAGAAACCTTAGGGGCGACCAGCAATTCCAGAGCAAAAGTTTTTTTTCCAAATGAACTACCTATGCAACAGACCGCTATTTTGATCAGTCAATAACAAGTGACATCACAGAGATGGCAGAACTAAGTCAGTTGGATACATGCAATAAAAACTGAACTATAACAACAAAAGTCTCATGGAGAATGAGATACACAAAGCCTTTTATATGCCCAGTTCCTAGTTTCTAAAATAAACAAATTGCAAAGACTTGGAAACAGATGTCTCTAAAACACAAACCACAAGCTTCCCCAAGGGCTTACACCTCTATGCATTTCTGCCCAGAGCTTTTCACAGAAAGACAGGGTATCCCAGAATTGCACCCCTACCTGCACACACCAGGCACTGATATCTGGAGGGTCATCACACCAATATTGTAAGACAATACAGGCAGTTTCATATATTGGTAAACTACAAAGCCACATGTATCCCACACCATCGGCAGCTAAAATAGCTTGATTCAACCTGACTTAAAATTTCTAATGAAAGTGTGTTACCCAAAGATTATTTTGTTGGGGCTTTATTTAAGAGGTCATTAGAGCTTTCAATTTGGAGAACAGTAGTAAGGTAACAAAAAAGCCTGGAACACGAATGCTCTTTCACAGCATTAATATCTTGAATTACCTGACTGAGGCTTGGATTTCAGAAGAGCAACATTTGCAATAGGAAATAACTCCATGCAAACATGCCAAAGCATCAGGCTAAGTATGAACTACACAAATACAATTAAAGAGCTTGTAGGCTTTTAAGTATGCTTCTCTGCAGGGCTCCTTTAAAGTAGGTTCTTAGCTGAAAGGAATCGTGTGGCATATGCAATACAGAAAACCAAACACACACTTGGATACACATGATCTAGTACTGAAACACAAAATTTAGATAAATTATTTAAAAAAAAAAAGAGTAGAAAGAAGCTCCTACACTGCAGAAACCTGTATGTTGTGAGCAGGTGTAGTTTGGTTAAAAATTTACATATGGAAGACATTTATTTAAGCCACAACCAAGCAAACAATATTACCTCCATCAGGCCTTTTCTATTAAATCCACATATCGCTTTATTCAAAATGTGTAAAGTCTCTATTTTTTCTTGTAAACAATTTGTCTAGCAATAAAACTCTCATAAGGTAACAAGAAGCTGGGGTTCAAATTGGCATGGAAAATTCTATTTACTTCTCAAGCACCCTTGAACTTGGCACTGCATGCTATTTGAATATAAATATATGCTGGGAAAAAAACCATACTCCGAAAACAAAATTACCAACAAATATTACCAAGAGCAGGAAAATTGGTTTAGGGTTGTTTGGGGGTTTTTTTTGTGAGCTTCAAAAGAATTTCGGGGGAAAAATTTAGAGAGAAAAACTCCACATACAACAGGTAACAAGAACTGAAAAAGAGAAAAATACAGATTAACATGTCAACACATCAAAAACAAGACTCAATTTAGAAACAGAAAGCTGGGCACAAGCTTCAAAGCCAAGTTTAAAGGTTACTCGGCAAGAGAAAGGTGAACAGAATACAGATTAACATGTCAACACATCAAAAACAAGACTCAATTTAGAAACAGAAAGCTGGGCACAAGCTTCAAAGCCAAGTTTAAAGGTTAACAGAAAGTCCAAAGTAGTGAACAGAAAGTCCAAAGTAGTGAGAGGTAATTTGGGTTGCCTAGTCCTGCCAGAGAAAGGACTTTCATTACAGTTAAGATGGAAGATCATCAGAACATGAAGAGTTCTAGCAGTTACAGCAGAATGGGAATAATTTTCAAAGAATAAAAAAAACCAGACAAACAAACAACCACCCCACAAAGAAGCGTTGTGCAAAAACATGTAGATGAGAGTTATTTCTATCTTGTCCATCAGTGCCTTTGAATTAGAAAACTGGCATTCATGTTTGGGTTAGTTTCCTTCTCAGAAGATGCTGCAAAGTCTGCCTTCGCTGCCTGCACACCTGGCACTTCCTTTGGAATGTGCAAGATTTCAATCGACATGTCAAGACATCTTCTGCAGAGCTGCTCCCATTCTGACCTAATTACGTATTTTCTGGTATCATTAACATGGACAGCTTGCTCTCCTGTAACCCAGCTGGACATTAGCTGGGGAAATTCACTATTTGGATTCCACGCCCCCTCCCCACAAAGCTATCATAAGTGAAATCACAGAATAACCTCATGCTGCATCAAAATTTTTTTGTGGGAGAGAAAAAACTTTTAGATCTTCCCTTTAATACTTCTGAAGGAAAGTTCCCTGTCTGCTGAGAGAAGGGAGAAAACAGTGACAGAAAACAGAGAAGACACATGAACATGAATTCTTCTGGGGCTTTCAAGATTTATGCTTT